GGTCCACTCTGCCACCAGCAGCACCTGCAGAAAGCTGAATTCGTGATGTGCAAAAGGACACGGGCAGTGGGATATGCCCAGCACACACCGCCTCGTCCCAACCCCCCCCAAGGAAGGGCAGTTCTCCCAGCTGTAGCTCAGCCTGCCCCGGTGGCTGCAGCAGGAAGACTGAGCAGCGGTGGGTTCATGGCTTTTAGCTGGGTTCTGTGGTGTCAAATCAGGCACAAAGTCTGACTGATGCTTTTCCCGGGGATGGAGCATTAATAAAACCTCTTGCCTGGGGCAGGTGTGCATGTGATTTTCTGCCTTCTCCCTTGTGTGGGATGCACATGGAGTCTGCCCCTCTGTCAGCTGCCTTGCTGCACACGATCTGTGGGGATGTGCTCCTGTTTAAGCCCTTTCCTGCTCTGCTCCATTAGTTTCATGGAGCCGGGTTTCAAATGCATGCCGGGGAGACACAGAGATGCATGGCCACAGCCCCCAGTGTGACTCCAGGACCCATCTCAAGGCCCCGAGCAGGAAGCACTAACACTGACCGCTCCATCCTGTCCCCAGCCTCTCTTCTCCCTTCCTCACCTTCCATACAGTCCCCCTTTGTTCTGGGCTCTGCCTTTGCCCACAAGACCTAGCTGCTGGTGTCAGCTGCTGGGCCTCACTGGGAAATGGCCTGACCAGAGGAAAAGGCACTGGCTCTGTGCTTTGTGCTGGACGGTCCTTAAACAGCCAAAGAATCTAAAAAGAATCATCAAGGTTGGAAAGGACCACTAAGATCACCTAGTCCAACCACCAACCTGTCCCCATCATGCCCGCTAAACCATGTCCCTCAGTACCACATCCACACGTTTCTTAACCCTCGCCAGGGACAGTGACTCCACCACCTCCCTGGGCAGCCTGTTCCAATGCTTTACCACTTTTTCTGTGAGTAAATGTTTTCTAATATCCAGCTGGAACTCCCCCCGTGCAGCTTGAAGCCGTTGCCTCTCATCCTATTGCCGTAACCGGGGAGAGGAGGCCGACCCCCACCTCACCACAACCTCCTTTCAGGCAGTTGTAAAGAGTGATAAGGGCTCCCCTCAGCCTCCTTCTCTCCAGACTGAATAATCCCAGCTCCCTCAGTCACTCCTCATAAGGCTTGTGCTTAAGATGCTCCACAGCTTCATTGCCCTCCTCTGGATATGTTCCATGGCCTCAATGTCTTTCTTGTAGCGACCCAGCTTGGGTAGAGAAAGAAGGAAGCCCTTTAGCACATAATGGTACACTGCACTGAAGGAGGAAACCCACCTGCAGGTACAAGAAAAAGGAGCAATACAATGATTTAGTGGTTTGTTACCAGGTCCAGCTTTCTAGGAAGAAGGTGCTGCTCCGTCTTTCCTCACATCACTCAAAGACCGCATCAGCTGCAATTGCCCATCTAAACTAAATACATGGCATTGTGGCCTTTTCCATATCACATCTGTGTGGCCAGTTTTTCCGTCGTGCATCATTCAGTCATGTTGGGACAACTTGTTCAATAATGTAGAGGCACTTCATCACAGAACAGCATTTGAGGTGATTTATGGTTTGGTCTTTTAGCAGCACACCTGTAAATTGCTATAAATAATGCTAACCCCTATTAAAGAGACATCAGGGTGCCCTCCAGTTAATGGGGAGGCAGTTGTGCATGATGTTGGATGAGAGCATCACCGGTTTATGGCTGATATTCAGCTCTGTGAGTGTGCCCCTTAAGCAGACCTGGAGGTGAAGGTCCTGGTTTCTGAAGGGCAGAACCTGCAGGCGTTCAGCTGCACCCTGCTATACAGGGATCGATGGCATCCTGGGCTCCGTGCCTTCATTTTTCCGAGGGCATAATGTAACTTGTACTAATCAGCTGCCTGCAGCAAAGCTTAATTACAAATAGCTCAGCACAGATGATCTTCTCAGCTATACCAAGTCTTCATTCAGCACCATGCAAGATTACAGTGAAGGAAGGCCAGAAAGAAATGCAGGTAGACCAAAATCCCACTTAATGCAGAACAAATTCATCCCCAAAGGCTTCCGACTCCTGAAAGCCAGTGGGCAAACCAGCTAGGAAAATCAGCACAGCTACACAGAGCAGGTCCACCTCCCATACTCACGCAACCAGCGAGTTGTGTTCCTTCTCAGCAGTATGGAACAGTTTCACCTTTCCTAGCAACACAACAGCCCAAATGTCATTTTTTAAATGCAGCAATAGCAGATGTGAGTTAAGTGTGAAAAGAGGATCGGCCTCCTGACCAAGGACTCAGCCATGATAAAATGGGAGGGTCTCTGTCCAGAAATAGGTGAGTGATCACTATGCAGGGATGCAAAAGAACAGCCAGAGACAGCAGAAACACTTTAAACTACAAAACAAACTTACTTGGCTCACAGAACGCTTATGACTCACACGTCAAAGGTGCTGAAGATAACCGAGAGGTAGAAATTCAGAATCCCTGGTCTGTGACGGGGAGGCTGAATTTGTGAGGGAGAACCAGGGGGTCCAGGCCCCCTCCACCCTGCCATGGATAAATACAGCCATCCCCAGGTTGCTACAGCTGCTCCAGTGCTCCGAGAGACACCTGCTGTATGGCAGAACCCTGAGGGCTGTCACTCGGGGTGTGGAAGCCCACTTCAGTCCTGACAAGCTCATTGCATGCAGCTCAGGAGCCTGCCCTTGGTTTCGCTGCTCTCCCAGCTGATGAAGACCACGATATATTTCCAGCATCTTTTTCCTCTGAAAAAAAATAGTCAACTCAGCTCCCACTCCCAGTCTTGAAGATATTTCACTCCTGTCTGATATTAAGAAATGTGCAACAGGGACTGCAGAAATGAATCACATCATCTGATGGTGAGATTAAACCCAGCAGCTTTCGGATGAAACGCATCGTCTCACTGATGGAAACACAGTAGCTCCCTACAGCAGGATGGAGGACTTGGGGAGAACACAGGCGGTGACTAAGGAAAGCATGCTTTTTGCAAATATGTTTGTTTAGCTTTTTATTCTTTTATTTCAGATGCACTCTCAGCTTAGTTTTTATCTCCTTCGGCAGAGGTGGATTTGGAAAGCAATTCTCTAGGCAGGTTCCACAGTCCTGTGATTCTAAACGCAGGAAGAAAGAGGAAAAAAAACCTAGAAACTGAATCAGGTGAGTGGCCACAACCAGCAGCACCTACAGCAGCAGCAGCTGGATGCTGCCTGTTAGTGCTGCGTTTCAGAATGACAGGAAGGATTCAAGGTGCCATAAATCCTGGCATCTTTCTGCACAACTGTCCCCATCTCAGGCGGTTGTTCAGCCATTTCTGCCAAATGCACTGCAAAATGCAAGTACTCTGGTGATAGTGCCCTGCCACAACAGAGGCTGGAAATGGGCGATGTAAATGCAAAAGCTCTCATTCATCAAATATTCTAATATCTAATACAAAGCTCCTCTGAGAGCAACACGGCTTGGTGGATATAAAAGCTCTCCGCAGTTCAGAACGCAAAAGTTGAAGGGGCTGCTGTGAAAGAGCAGGAGTCAGAAGTCAGGTGATCCTGAACCTCCCTTATCACAAACACTTTTCATCTGCACTGTGAGCACGGCACCAGCTGACCTGCCCAGAGAGCACACAGTGATGTCGCGTGGAAAGAGAGCAGCTGATTTCCTGATTCAGCCGTGCTGAGGAGCCGGGAGGCAGAGAGCTCTTATGAAAGAGAACGGGAGAAAATAACAGCAGACACTGTGCTTTGGGGAGAGCTCCTGCAGGATGTTTTTAGAAACGTAGCTAAGTCCAGATTCAAGTAATCCAAATGCCAACAGAGATCCTGTGGCCAGATGGAGCAGTGCGTTCACAAGTCCCTCAAGAAGATGGGGCTGCAATGCTCCGCGACAGAATAGGTCAGTGCTGGGGGTAGCAGCCTTTCAGAGCTACTGTACCTCTTCATATGAGATTGTTCAGTCACGAAAGCTGGTATTTCAAGAAGCTACCTCCCAGGGACAAGGCCTACCTCTCAGTTCAAAGCTGAGCAGGAGCCAGGAGCTGTTGCTGCTCCCCTCCTAAGTGCGTTAAGTCCCCAGACCAGACTCCTGGGTCTTCCACATGCTGCTGAAGGTCTGGTTTTTGCTGTCTTTCCGTCTCCCCATACTACAGATGGCCCATCTACAGAGCTAACGTGGAGACTGGATAGCTGCTAGAACTTTAGACTTTTTCCCCTCTGTCTGATTACAAAGAATGGAGTGATTCTTCCAGGGCTGCACGCGCACATCATCTCCCAGAGTCTTCAGGTAGGGACTCACTCTGCTTAGGTCTCATCCAGATCAGCCGTGCCTGGAAGCTGCTCTAGTCTCAAGGCTGTCTGACACATCTGTGTCAAAAGAAGACTCAGACATGGAAATATTCATTAACAAGTTTTATTTGTCTTCAAGAAACAGCACATAAATTCTATTCACCTATGGGCATGAGTGTGGAAAATATAGAGGTATTATAGAGATACACTATCAAACAAGACACCATTTTGGAAAAAAAATACTTCAAGATATACCTTATTAATGGTTAGAAAACATGCTTTTCATAATTATCAACACAATCCTTCCTGAGGACAATATTTCCCTCTGCTAGGAATCAGTAGCCAATGCCATCAGATACGTGCACAGTGAAACCTACCAAAATCCAAAAGCAGCTTTCATTTCCAGGTCTCAGATACCACACCTCATTACACAGATTTTAAATGCATCAGCATTACCACTTCAGAACAGTTCAGAGACTGATCTGCTATAATACGTTTGGCAAGTCTTTGTTTTGATACAGTCTGCAAGGAGTAGAATGGCCACATGCTTGGAGTCTATTTTATCTGAATGGGGCGATAATTTGTGAGTAAAAGAAGATATCCAGACATTTAGAAAGTGATCTTCCAGCACACTGAGAACCTTGGGTTCCCATGCACTTCAGCAGGCATATAGGATGCCTGCTATCTCAACACTTTGAAAGACAGTAAGTGACACAAACAACAAGCACGTTGCTCTATGTTACTCTTTCCTTTTGCATTTATTTCAATGACAGTAGCTATTTTTGATATAAATGTGGAGCCACACATATGACATTGGTCATATAAGGACTTAGAGCTAACAGATATTTATACTGCAACAACGTGCTCCTACTTAAACAACAAAACTTCCACCAGCGTTTTCACTTTGTTGCCTGAGTTTCCGGAGATCTTCCTGAACTCACGACGTTCACCTATCAGCTTTGCTGTAAGTAAGCAGGTGTTTTCTATAGTGAAAAATAAGAAATAACAAAGGGAAAGTGTTGTAAGTTTATGCGCACTGCTTGTATGCATACCTACCTATTTTATGTCTGACTTCAGCATCTAGTTAACAGATTTGCTTCTGTCTCAAAGGCTTATTTCTGTAAATTAAAAGCAACTACATGATCAAAAGCAATTGAATTCTAAAACCAGGGAAAACAGTAAAAAAATAAGAAAAAAAAAGTGAAGGAAACGCAAATTTGCTTACTTACGAGCAGGAAAAATATTGTTATTTAGGCACAGGACAACAGTTGATGTGCAGTTGGCTGCCAAAATCTGGTTAAATTTTGGTACCAATGACATTTTGTGAAAAATCACAATGTTGTTAAAAAGAACATGGATTAAGAGCAAATACTGTACCAGGAATGATCTAGAATTGGGGTCTCTGGAAGAGATTCACAGGGGCTCGTTTCTGGAGGAGGCTCACATGGGCTTGTTTCTCTATCGAGCTCTGTTATTAAAAACAAACAAACAAAAACATGTTAGTTTTTCAGGCTCACAATATTCCTATTAACTGTAGTAGCTTAGAAAGTTGATTTCAAAAATATGTAACCAAGTAGAAAGTCACAAGAGAGGGTAAGCCTGGACAACAAGTGAGGTGAGCCACGTAAAATACAGACTCTGAATCACACTACTGATGGGACCTTCTTTTCTTCTGGCACTCCAGAGCATTGGCTCTCAGAGTGGGGCTGGTTTTGTGGGACACGTCCAGGTGGGAACACCTGGAGAGCCAACAACCAAGATGTATCTGGGGGGTGACATCAAAGACAGCACTGAAAGATGGCATGGCAGCCAGAGGACTGTCTAGGACAAAAGTGCAGAAGGCAGAACAGGGTGAGGAATTTGGATAAGAAAGGCTGCCATCTCTGAGCAGTGTACTCCTAATGGGACATAGTCAAAACAGCAGCTGGCTGCAAGGCAATTGCTCGATTCCACCATTACTGCCAGCCAGATGCTTCCCTTGACCCCACGGCCTGTGATCCTCAGCCCTTGCTCCATTCCTGCACCAAACTCCCGCTTCTGGGCTGAGGTTCCTGCCCTGTTCCCAGTGACCCCCAGCAGCACACCTCCCTCTGCTTAGTTACAGCCATGCCATCCCTGGGGGACTGGATCCTGTTTGGGAAACTACTGATGGGTTCACATCCTGAAACAAACAAAGTGCACGTATATCTAGTCCGTTACTGACACGTATTCATCAAATTTGTTCTCAAAGCCTACTGATGAAGGCTCTTTCACAACGTTTTGAATCTCTCTGGTTCAGCGCTTCACAGTGTTCCAGTTTCTTCCCTACTACCGAGGAGAAATATTTATTGCAAGAAAAGCTGATCTCTTTTCTTGTTCTACTTTTGATAGACGTGAATTAAAAAGAAATGCTGTTCTCTTTCACAACAACTTATTAGTCATTTAAGGACTATTTTCCTTCCTCTAATAATAATAATTATTATTTTTAAAGGATAAGCAAATGCAGTCTCCTGAATATTTCTCTTCTAACCTCTGCATTATTCTTAGCTGGATCCCTTTTATTTGTCTCTATCTTTTTGCAGTGTGATGTCTAAAACTGGACTCTGCCTTACAGCCAGTGGTTCCTACATAGCACCCTAATTTAATGCATTTCCAAAATATTTATACTGTTGCAACGGAGATAGAAAGCAACATTCAATGCAAAGTTTGGAATAGGTGTAAACTATGTCTCAAAACTCAACAAAGTTTATATTTTGTTATATCATGGGCTTTTATTATGCATAATTTTTAACTAGAACTTCACCCATACTCGTATGCAAATAAGAATGGGATAAATACATGTATGATGATTATCTGAGAATTAGCATAAGTTATCAGATGAAATCTCATTTTGTACCAGGGCAATACCTTAGAGGTTCGCTCAGTATTTAGCCACGTAGTTATTCAGGTAACATCTTCTGAAACCACTCCTGAAGTACATCAATGGCAATACTTTTGCCAGCATAATATGTGGGGGAAAAAAAAAAAAAAAAAAATCGAACAAAACACCAAAATCCAATCCAATTCATCAACCAACCAACCAACTCTAACTGAATACAGAGATCTCCATATCTCAACCATGAAAGACTGATGCAAGAGTGGTGTGTAACTCAAACCAAAAATGTGATTACATGCGTAAAGGATAGATGTATTCATAATGAAATACACATGAAAGTGTGTCTCTATCAGTGACGTATCTTCCATAAACGGATGCATACAAAGAAACAGCGGAGAGGTGCACGTGATAGATGGGGAATTATAGCAGAAATTGCTATTCTCACGCACCCTTCGGCCTTTTGCCTTTGCACTTGGACACCAAACTGTTACTGCCTGATTAACAGTTCTACCCTCTCAGTAAATACGAAGCATATCAAGGATAACTGATGGAATACTGAGCCATAAATGTTTTCTTGGCAGTTTTCTGCTATTTGGGGACAATAAAAACATCTCATATTCATAATGGTAATACATGTATACCACCACAGCTCACACCATCAAGCATTCTCCTTCTATCTCTTCGTGTTGGGTAAAATGCAGAGATAAACATTAATATGTATTAATAGTACGTAAATATAATTAATCATAATAGGATGTTCTTGACACACTATCAGTGCTGTTGATAAAACATAATTAAAATTGTCTGGTCAAATCTTTAGTGCAACTAGAATTGGCATCTCTGTTGTTTTTGCTGTTTGTGTATGTCTGTGTAGAGACTGCTATACTTCTAAAAACCTTGTTATTTCATTATGTTCCTAGGAGAACAGCTAAGCAGAACCCTAAGTCCTTCTCAGAATATAATTAGTGAGAAGTCACAGAAAATAATAAAAGCCTCAGCTACAAAGACTTAAGCTACGATGATCAACGACTTAGAGGACAGGACATTATAGGCAACCTAATCTCAAAAGGTTATAAATAAAATGGACAACACCTGCGTTGCTGAGATCGCGGGCTCATGAGATGAGAAAACACTCAGAACCAGAACTCTACTGAAAAGCTCCACAAACTGAGGAAGTGAGCTGAAAATTCTTTGAAAAAAGAGTAAGGCAACATTTTGAGGAGACAACAAGAAAAGCAAGAATGAGAGTAACGTGCAGAAGGTGATGCAGAAACCATTTTTCACCATTTCTTCCAATAAAAGAATGAAGTAAGATATAACAAAAGCAGCGGCTGGTGGGCTTGAAGACAGAGTAGAAGTTCTTTGTGCGTGGCTGACACATTGGTGGAACTCCTTGCTGCAGTGTGCAAAGGATTCCTAACGGCTGTGGGCTCAAGTGACATTGCATACAAACAGGAGGAAGTCTATGTCCTCCCCTGCTTATTCCCTGTAGCTCAAGAGGCATAAAATTTTAAAATACAATGCTTCAAAAGTCAGCAATGTGTTTTTTTACATACATATAGGTACGTATGCATGCAACAAAACATTTGCAGATGCTGTTAATGTGAGCGAACTTTTACTATTCTGTATAAGCAAGAGAAGTCATTTAAAGCAATACCGTGTTTTTGTTACATCTCTTTTCCTTTGATGCAATGGATTTCATGTATTCAGGGTTGCTATTACCTAACACTGTATTTTTGTCCCAGAAGGGAGGGAGAGAAAGAAAATTTCACTGTACCCTTTATACCCTCGCTGTGATTTGATGGGTATGGTACATTATCATGCCAGCGTAATGCAAGTGATGAGCAATGATCCATTATTGTCATTAAAAAATTACTTGCGTTTTTAAAGGTCGTGCAGCTGTTTTCAGTTATATAATCTGTAGTATGATGTAATGAGGTAGGAATAAAACTGCAGGAGCAAATAATAGGACAGCCAACAACATAGGCACGTCCCACCCTTGCAGAAGGTTTTCCTGTTTTTTCTGTCTCGATAAGCTGAGAGTGATGCAACGATTGTTTTAAGAGCTGTCTGGGCCCACATGTTTAGCCACGCATGCTGACTAGGTTCTCTTGAAAGGAAGGCAGTTGTACTCGGAGGTTTTATGAATATAAAGATTAATGAATTTGTACAATTTGGGCATGCAAAGCATATTTATCAGGCGTATTCCATTTAGCATAAGCAGTAAACCATATATAAGGGTTGTGTCAAAGTTTACTGAATAGGGCCCTTGGTAGCTAATGCTACATTTCTCCAACAAATCAAAGGTATTGTTCTATGCTCACATGAATATACAGTGGCCATTACCTTAAATTTAAAACTCACTGTGAGCAGCAAACACACTGTGGGGATATGAAGGCCATATTGTATCAGTGGAGTCTGCAGAGATTTTCTTCATATGGCCTCGCCTGGTTGAAATATATGTTGCAGTTGAAAGCTAAAGGGATTACTTTTGAATAGTCATCACAAAGGTTGATTATATTCGTATATCATTTAGCTGGACCCTGCAGGCTATTATTCCATTAGCTGTGCTGGCCCTGCACTGTCAAAAAGTTGATCATATAATGCAAAAAGGTTACATGCTCTGTTAAGGTATGTGAAGCAACTTGAAATAGTAATCTTTTAAGAGCACTGCAGCTTTGTACTTGAAAGTAGATTGCTTTTAAAATAAAAATGTGCAAAATGGAATACATACAGTAATCCTACCTCTGTTTTCTTTTTTTCCCCTGTTTTGAATAGGCCGTGTGTGATTCGAGTAAGCTAATTGTGCCAAATTAGATGTTGGCTATAAAGTATTTTTCAGCCTCAGACCCAAAGAACATCACCACCATATAGCTGTGTCTTTAAGTGAAACACCTACTGAAATTACCTTTCTGGTGAAAAAGATTTGCTGATGATATTTCCCTTGCACATACAAACACACACACACACACACACATTTTCTTTCACTGCTTAATAAAATGAATCTTCAGACAGTTCCATTATGTGGATGCCTTAATATTATTTTATGCTAAAACACGGACAGCACATTAGATTGAAAGCATCTTACTGTTCCACAAGGCAGAGTAATCACGGGCTATCCCTAGACAGTAAATGCTCCCACTGGGGAAACAACGCAAACAGCACAGGCTAATGAATCACAGTCATTACTAATCACAGGCATTCGTAGGAGCCACATGTAAAAGAGATGAGCTCTCTGGATTAGAAAGGTTAGAAGGTGGGCCTGAGAAAAGGACGGATCATCCAATTGCATTTTAGAGTAAGTTTAGGGATGGGCTTTTGCTTCAGTGCAATTGTGCCTGTGCTAGCGTCAGTCTTTGCAAGCAGGCAGATGGCGAGAAAAAATTTAGTCAGCTTGGTTCACTTGGCTTTCAGATCCTTGTAGGACAGTTTGGCAAAAATAAATAAAGGCATGCAAACAAGACCCTCAGGGCTCATGGCCCAGCTAGGAATGAAACCGCTTCTTTTATCAGACAAAGTTGTTTAATCGAGATTGTAAAAGCTAGAGTTGGTCCTCTTTTCAGTATATCATATGCATTTTTTACAGCAACGAATGAATCTTTATGAGTACGAAT